CCAGGGGACAATTTTCTTTATCTAATTTATTGTCACCCCTGGAACCCTTTGTTAGGTCACTTCTTGACAAACAGTTCGAACTTTTCTCCTTAAAGGAATGCCTTTGTCCCTGGTAACAACCCAGTGAACCTTCCTCTGTGCTCAAAGGCATCTCACCTGAAGCTCAGTGCCAGAACTGTCCAGGTTACTCCAGTGGAGGACTGACCAGTAATTTTTAAATTCCCATTTGATCTTTTCACTTTTATTTCTACAAATTGCCAGAAGGTAATTACGTGAGTAAAATATAAAGAAGCCAATCTTAGTCCGTCCACACTCCAAAATGAATGCTTTTGATCCTGTGTTCGATCTAAAATGGATCCATGCCTCCTTATTAAAGACTGTCCATGAAGATTGTCTTATAATAATCTAAGCTTTACCGACTGCATGAAGATATATTCTACTGTTAATTGCCGAAAGAAAAGTTGCTATTAATGATATATTCAGCTGCATGATCAACATGTTAGATTTTCAAAATGTTACATTGGATTGGTAAATTTTACAAGTTATTTCTCGTTAGCCAATCACTGTATGAATTATAAAGGAAAAAGATCGACAACCTGAAAGCACTAATTATAAACTCTCGGTGTGACTGAAGGGACTGTTCAGTTGATCAAAGCACATTGTACAGAAAGATTTGAAGGGTAGACAAGTTTTAATGATCAGATATAATGGAACTGCTTGGGTAAAACTATGGTCTGGTTGTTTATTTCGCTGATCTTGTTCCCTTTAATTTGCTTAATTTCCCTCATTTATTGCTATTTTGCTCTCCTTAGAACCAACCATTCTCTTTCAAGTTGAAAGGGGTGACATAAAGGTGTGGAACAGTCCACCTCAAAGCACTGGTTTTCTATTCCCATGGAAACCATTGGGTAGTAGCAAGGTGCCATTGTAAAATGTTTGCCGCCTCATTGATTAGCAAAATGTATTAAGTCTGCCATGCATTGACTGCCTAATACCAATATAGTCCTCTTTTTAACTCTAATACATGCAGGATAGCAAAAATTATATCACTCCATCATGGATGCCTTCTGTCCATCACAATAGCCTACATTGTTTCCCACCCTGCCAATCACTGTGGAAAGTTTCAAGTTAATGTAGTACAGTTGAAAGAGATCATATAAATTCCATGACAATTATAGAAATTTACAGCCAAGTAAGGTGCCTTTCAGATCTTTGAGTCCATGCTGACAAAAGCTAGCCTATTCCCAGTGTTCGGCTCTGAGGGCTTCAGCCTAATGGCTCACAATGTAACCAAAGCCCTTTTTAATTGTTGCGAGGATTTTTGTGTCTACGACACTGCCATTACAGCACATGCCAACTCCTCACCAGCCTTCAGGTGGAAACATTTCCCTTCAAGTCCCCTCTTTCAAGTAATGCCCAATGGTTATACACTTCTCAACAAAGGGGAAAAGAGTAATTCTACCTACTATCCCTAGAGCACTCATAATTTTCTGCACTTTAATCAGATCCCCATCAGGTCCTCAGTTCCAAAGAAAGCAACCCCAGCCCTAAGCAATCTTACACATGGCTAAAATTCTCCAGTCCAGACATCATTCGATATTCTGACATTGGCATTTGATCCAAATAAATTCTCGGTTGTAGTGTTAAATCGGCAATAGTATCTTTCAATATTATTATTCTTCTAGGAATAACATTACAAATTAATTAAATTTGGGTCTGGTTTGTTGCACACACAGAACTGTATTTCTCCAAGGACTCAATTTGGAAATACCTCAAATATTTTAAGACAACCGAGAAAAGAATTCCTTTTAAAATCTAAATATTTAAGGAATGGTGATTTGACATGTGCCAAAATCTGTCAATAGTTTAAAATAACTCCAGCCTCCATTTATAAAGTGTCCTCGATGCAACAAACATCCCAAAGCACCTCAGTGGAACTGTATCGAGCAATTTTGATGACAAATCTCATAAGGGGGTTATTAAATAGATAACCAATACCTGTGTTTCAAGGGGTGTCATAAAGAGCCACAGAGAGATGGAGAGGCACAAATGTTTAGGACTTTGACAGATGAAGACCGAGTCCCCACGGTGTAGTAATTTAAAAGTGGGGACATGCAAGAGGCCAGAAATGCAGATGGGCCGAGAACATGATGGGTTGTAGTGCTGGATAGGTTGGAGGCCCAGGACAGAGTAAGGCCATGGAGTTATTTGAAAATAAGGAGGAGAATTTTAGCGATCACAGGCCAGCAAACGCTGGGCTGGTAGTTGATTAGGTCTTGTTGCTAGTTAAAAAATGGCAGCAGAGTTTCGGATGACATCATGGCCATGTGGAGGGTGGAAGATGGCAACCTACCCAGGAGATCATTGGACCATTTAAGCCTGGTGGTAACAAAGACATGGTGAAGGGTTTCAGCTGGAGACTTGGTGAGGGAGGGCTGGAGTCAAGTGAGGTTATAGAGATGAAAATAAGAGGTCTCGGTAATGGAGCAGATATGTGGCTTGGAAGCTCACCTCCACATCATACGTGGCACAAAACCTGTGAACAATCTGTTTCAGCCTCAGACAGTTGCATGGAGAGAGATGCACTTGTTGGCTAGTGAATAAAATTTGTGGAGTGATGACATTGCTCTTATCATAGAGTCAGCGTCATGCAGCATGGAAACAGGCCCTTTGGTCCAACCAGTCTATGCTGACCATGTTCCCAAACTAAACTAGTCCCACCTGCCTGGGCTTAGCCCATATTCCCTCCAAACCTTTCCTATTCATGTACTTCTCCAAACGTCTTTTAAGTGTTGTAACTGTAACTGCATCTACCACTTCTTCTGGCATTCATTCCACACACGAACCACTATGTAAAAAAAGTTGCCCCTCATATCCCTTTTAAATCTTTCTCCTCTCATCTTAAAAATATGCCCCCTAGTTTTAAATTCACCCACCCTAGGGAAAAGATCTTTGTTATCACCTTATCTATGCCCCTCATGATTTTATAAACCTCTATACGGTCAGCCCTTGACCTCCTACGCTCCAGTGGAAAAAGTCCTGGCCTATCCCACCTCTCCTTAGAACTCATCTCCGCCAACATCCTGATAAATCTTTTCTGAACACTCTTCAATTTAAATCCTTCATATATCTTTAATATCCTTCCTATAGCAGGGTGATCAGAACTGGACACAGTACTCCAGAAAAGGCCTCACCAGTGTCCTGTACATTCTCAATATAATGTCTGAATTCCTATATTCAAAAGTCTGAGCAATGAAGGCAAGCATGCTAAACGCCTTCATAACCACCTTATCTACCCATGATTCAAATTTCAAATCATGTAACTGAACCCCTAGTTCTCTCTGTTCTACAACACTATCCAGGGCCTACCATTAATTTTATAATTCCTGCCCTTGCTTGTCAGGTTAAAACACCACTAGTCATCTGTCTCTAATGAAAGAGCACCCCTACGGTCTGGTTGGATCATGGCAACATTACCTTTCACTTTACTGACCAGAGTCAAGTTGGAAGAACTCAGATAGCCAGGCTCTCGAAGAGATGACTTGGGGTTCGACCCCATTCTCATTTGATATTATCAGTTGGGAATAAGGCACTCCCTTTTTTTTCTGGTATCAACCACATTATCTTAGCAAGGGGTGTGGATGCTTGACTTGGTGATGATTGAGAGAGTTTGGGGATGGGGAAATGTAACCTCCCATTGCTGACAGTTCCTGCAGTGGGCCAGCATTAATGGTTTTGAGAGACAAGTCATACGCTATGCCCTCCCTCTCTGCTGACTAAGGAAAACATTGAAGGTATTAGAACAGCCGATAAGCCTCTTCAGCTGATTCCATCACTTATTAAATCACAACAGATTGCAACTTAGATGCATCTGTTGTAGTTCGGGGTCATCTACCTTGGAAGGAGAAATAAGCAGGGAGGCAAGTTCAAATAATTGATATTTATTGTAGGTATAGAAGCAAAATAGTGGTAAGATAGTAAGGCAATACATTTTCATTATTACTTCAGAAGGCTATTTGTTGACAATGCATTTTTTGGAGTTACCTTTTCTGTATATTGTGCTGGTGATTGTATTGAGCAGTCCCTTGTAAAACATTGAATCATAGTGCTGCTGCTTAAAGTGTTGAGAGTTTCACAAAGCTAACAAGCTAGAGTCAAGTCTCTTGTGAGACTAATTATACCTGCACATTACTCATGATTACCACTTCAGAGTTTCAGTGTCAAAAGAACAATCCTGTCAACATTGGTGCTTTAACGAGAATTTTGCATATTTATTTTAAGAGAAATGGAGCTAATCAGTTAAATAATATATACAAATAGAAGAATTTATTTAATAAAATATGTGACTTGTGCTAAGTAATTGAGGAACATAAAAGCAAAGGTGCCCAAACTAAAATGCATAGTTTTCGACCCATTAGTGTAAAGCTCCCTCATATTTTTGTCCTATTTAATCATGGGTGGCTTGCACTATAATTTTCTGAAAACCATGATTAAAAGAATACTCAAATGACATGATTTCTAACAGTTTAGATTAGAAATTCTTAGTTACTGATAAGCCCAAGCAAACTAAGAAATCAATATGCCCTCTGGTTTCAAGGTGTGGTTGACTAAAATATTGAATCATCTATTTACGAATAGACCCCAATTTTTTTGAAAGCTAAGGTAGTGAGACAAGACACTCTAAGTTCAGGAGACTTTTACACCACTGGGTCATTGCAATGCATGCAAGGAGCTAAACCTCCTAGAACACACGTAACAGTGATCTTAACAAAAGATCTTGATGAATACCTGTGATCTCAAACTGATGTACTTTTCAGACCTGACCTGCAATGGATGGATTCCTATCTTTTTTTTTGCTGGCTGCTTTCGACACTGAATATATCTGGAGTTATCCTGGCAGGAAATGAGCTCTATAATGCATGGAAAAAATAACAACTCGCAGAAAATGACATTGTTTTAAAACCTAAATTTTTTTTGTTTAATGTCTTGCCTCCATTTAGAAGCACAGTGTAAACCTTATTACTCTGACTATTCCCCTGCTCGGCTTCTCATCCACAAAATGTGCACAAGCCATTATTTGGATTTGTTCATCACTGTAGTGATTGGGCTGAATGTAATCACCATGGCAATGGAACATTATCAGCAACCAAAGGTAAGAATGATTGTTTTCTCATCAAACTACAAACCGTAAAAATTGCCTCAGTCACAGTTATGACAGTGACCACCCCCAGCTTCCTAACACTGACTGCTTTTAAAGTATTGGCAGGGAATATGACTGGAGCCAATAAATTGCAACTCACCTTGAACATCAAAACATCTTTGGGACTGAAGAGCGTGAAAGATCCTGCTGGTGTTGATGACATTAGTAGGTGATGCATCCAATCCGGCTCCAAGAGGTCATGGAACAATACCATCCAATCGAGTGGTACCTCTGGCAAGCTGGTCACTCATATCGACTGCACTGAAGTTTAGTGCTGGATACTCACAACCACAGTGTAACACTGATAGTCTGAGACATAATTGATTGGAAAACTGAATAAAATACAGCGACCACATTTATTGAAAATCCACATTGTCATCTCTCTTGCTTATAGCAACACAATCCCAACTTTTGATAACTGACATGGTAAACTAACAGGATTCCTAAATAAATGGTAGCAATTATTTTGGAGGTGAAATCTATTGGAATGTTAAGATTCTACCAACTGTGTAATATAATCATGACAAATTTTGAACGCACAATTGGTTTCTTCTCTGGCCACTGTCACCCATTCAGAAGTATTTCTCAACTCCCAAATCTTGCTGTCTTCCAAGAGAATATTTTTGCAGCAATCCCGAATAGTTTAACAACCCCAGCACTCACTATTCCATTATAACAGTTCCAATGGATTCACAAATCCTTCTGTCACAGTAATAGTTACCAATATATCTTAGGAATCAACCTAATATACTGGATTAAAATGTGCACATTTGAACTGTAAATTTTAACAGGACAAAAACAGGTGAGTTTTAAAACAAAATAAATTAGAAAAAAAATATGAATTACCAAATTCAATTGCAATTTTCAAAAGAGAAAAAAGGGAAAGCATTACAAGGCAATGGGGAAAGAGCAGTATTAATTGAATGGCCATACCAAAGAGCCAACAATGATGAAATGGTCCAAATGGCCTCCCTCTATACTGTACCTTATTGTGTCAAACATCAGTTGGTATCCACAAAAAGGCAATTCTGTCATTGTTCTAAAGTAATGCTTTACATGTAATCATAATCTCTAATGTTCACAGGTTCTGGATGAGGCTTTGAAGATCTGTAACTACATCTTCACGATTATCTTTGTCCTGGAGTCTGTATTCAAACTGGTTGCCTTTGGTTTTCGCCGATTCTTCAAGGATAGGTAAAATTCCACAACAGTACCAAAGTTGGGAGGTGCAGTGGGGAAGATGAATGCTTCACGCTTCCCAGAGTGACAGTTTATTTTAGTTGGTACAGAGGAGGAAAAGCCTTTATCTTTCAAGCCCTACTTAATTGGTGCATTTTCAGCGAAAGACTTGGAAATGAAAGTATTGGTCCACCATTCTGAAGTATACAAGACAACCCAGTTTGTATCAATTGCCAGTTTTGCTGGTTTTCCTCCTGAATTACAAGAAACAGAGTCTGCTGACACCTGAAAGCGGGGGAAACTCTGCACGTGCTAATCAAGAAATGCACATGCGCACTGATCCAGGTCAAACGTCATCTCGTCTTTGTACATGTGACGTCACGGCAGCACCGAATGCGTATGCGCCTTGAACCACGTGCTTTTGGATGGCGTTCAGCTGCAGAGAGTCGGGAGAGATTGGGAAATCCCGGTGAATTGGAGAGGGAAGGAAGAGTTTCCCACTCCAACTTCCCATCCTTCCACATCCCCACCCCCAGGTCCCAGTTACCTCACACACTCCTCCCCCAGCCAGGCCCCCATGTGCCCGTTCCCCACCAGCTTTTCTCCCCAGGCCCAATCCCACCCCCCCCACTCCTCTCAGGTCCCAGTGTCCCTGCACCCCCACTGAAGTTCCAATGCCCTTGCCTCTACTCCCAACCCCATTCAGATCCCAATGTCCCTGCCCCCACCCCTGCACCTCCACTGAGAACCCAATGCCCCTGCCTCTACTCCCAATCCCAATCAGGTCCCAAAGCCCCTGCCTGTACTCCCACCCCCTCACTCAGGTCCCAATACCCCTGCACCCCCCATTCGGGTCCCAATGCCCCTGCCGCCTCCCCCACCTACTGCTCTCTAGTCCCAATGCTTTTGCCCCCCACCACCCCCCCCACT